AGTGGGTCAAGGGCACAGGAAACGGGCAAGTCAGTCATTTCAACTACAATGATCAAAGGCCAAGGAATTCATATGAATTTCATGCCATTGCTGTGAAGTTGCTCGGTACCTTTTCTTTCTTTCGGCAACGGAGAGGAGGCTCCGTCACATGTCATGGGCTTTCCCGGCATGCCATCTGGCAAGCCGAGCACAAGCTATCGGCTATCGACAGGCCAGGTCTGCTATCGACAGGCTTCGTCAGAGACCTCGGCGGCCTCGACTTCTTGTCGATGCCGATTGGTGATCCCAGGGTAACAGCATGGACAGTGTCTACAGCATGGACAGTGCTTGAGCAAGGACTTCGTGACTTATATAAGTGACTTAGGACTAGGTGGAGTGGATCTACTTGATCAGAACTTTATCAAAGAGCTCTGGGATTTTTGGAAAGTGTCTGGTGGCGCAACTCCATTGCTTTCCACGATCCGCACGGCCCAATGTATTTGGCAGTGCAGCAGATCGCTCCTGAAATGTTCAAGTGCTGCGGCCTCCTGGCACAAGAGCTGTTGGCAGCGCTTCTCCCCTAAAGGATTGGCCCCTGCCTGTGATGGAGCACCTTTTCGGCAACCGCGGCACTTCAATTCGGTCCTGAAGTTTCCACACATTGCAGTTGCTCCAACTGAATCCCTCATCATCAGCCTTGCTCAAACCGAATCCCTTTGGCCCATGCAACACCAATGACGCGCGGGGCTGGACTCCTCTGCCTTAGTCCATTGGAAGATGCTTCTCTTCCTCCACAGGGTCGGGCATATCAGCGCAATCCTTGGATGCCCCAAGCACGCACGAAAAAGACCGCTCAGTCTGTGCTCGTAGATTCTACGTTTTAGTCACCTGCCACGAGGCGCGAAAATGTTTGAGTCACCTGCCTCCGCCAATGAAGCTGGCTGATGTAATCTCAATCGAACTTCGTAAATCAGCTTCACCTGCTTTCACCCTACTTTCACCATCTTTCACCCTCTCACCCAGCTACAGAGGTGGTAGCGATGCCAGCCGCTGGGCCGTTGGTCACTGCCGCTACCATGTCCTGGGTGCTGTGCAGCCAGGACGGTTGGACTTACGAGCGTGAAGGATCCCTGATCGTCCTTGCTGATCGCCTTCCAGCTTCCCAGCAATTCTCCAGTTGAGTTAGAAGCTACTAGGAACAAAAGGCATCGCCACTAGGCGCAAGGACGCTACTAGTAGCTCCTGGCCTTACTACTAGGAACAAGAAGCTAGGAGCAAAGGGCTTCGACGGACAACTGGAAGTTCCGCACTGATTTACATCACTGCGCGTCGACCCAGGTCCAAAAAGCCAAGGATTGGTGGTGGCCAGTGGTCAACCGGAAGGGACGTTGTCCAAAATTCTAGGAAACTGCCCCGGTCAGGTGCTTCAAGGTGCTGGTCCTTCCGTTGGTTTTGCGTTCAAGCGGCAGAGATGTCAGCAGCGCAGAGTGCCTTCTGGCTTCCTGACGAGATCACAAAAATCGGGGGAGGAGGAGTCTGGATCACTCAGATGCACGACAGGCAGATGCAGAAGTTCCGTTCTCCCTGCACTAATGCATGGTAGATGGGATGGCATGGCCTCGTGTTCGGATGACCATGAAATCAATCCGAATACCTAATATGTAGGTGGCGGTTTTCCACGTAGCCATGATGATTTCCGGGAGTGTAATACCCAAACACTCCATGTACGCCCGATATATGCCTACATTGAACCCCCTGATCGGCACCACCCCTATAGCCGGATCATGCCTGATCGGCAGTCCTATGGCAGTCCCAAGCAAGTCGTGTCTGAGTTTGGTCCGGGAGAGTCAGAACCATATGCGTAGCCCCGGAACTCGGTCGCGGCGTTCGTCTCTGCTGCTCAGCCCGGACGGCACCGAACACCCCCCCCTTACCCCCCGGCGTCCTTTGGTCCAGCAGTCGGAGACCGCCAAGGCCCTGGGGCGACGAGCGCAAAGGGTGGAAGATCACATCGTAAGGAACCCATTTCTTAAGGTACGGAATGCCACTAGTAGTGGCTGCCAGGAGCTACGTTCGCTTCGCGTCCTCGCGTCCTCGCGTCCTCGCTCGTCGCGATGGCCCGGTGGTGACGAACACCAGCGAAGGAACCCGGTCACTTCGTGGGAGCTTTCGGAGCGAAGGCGTTGCTGATCGGCGGCTGTGGGACCCGATCTTCTCCGAGGGATCAAAAGGATCGTCTGGTTTGTTGGAGGTCGGATGCCGAGGGCGTCGGATGCCGTGGGTTTGCCCGCACGCATCGAATCGAACGGAGGGTCGGGCGACACCATCGCAGAGATGGGGACGGTGGGGAGGTTGGGACGTGTCGCTGGGATCGAAGTTCTGGGTGTATAGTTTCATAGGGCAACAGTGTCCATGGGGCCCAACCAACCTGTCATAAGCCCCAGGAGGATCCATGCTATCATATGCTATCCATCCTGTGTCGCCCCGCCGGGCCTTTACAGTAGGCCCGGCTCCTCGAACGATTTCTCCGAACCTTCCGCGGGGGGTTCAGAGGTCGTTGCCTGGGAGGTTCCCCCAAACAGAGCATCACACCGAAATCCCGACCTGAACCAGAGACCCGACCCGACCTCAAGTGGCCAATCTTACCAATCCTCTTGGCCCAGGTGGCGTAAATTGGGAGATCCACGCGAAGGAGCTGATGATGTTCATGATGTTGATCGCGCAGGCCCTGGTTTCAGGAGAAGCTGATGAGCGCTCAGTCCGGAAGCATAGAGGAAGCATGGCAATGGAGCTACCCAGACGCTCCAAACAGCCCTTGGTCCCTCAAAACCTAGGGATTTGAGACCCCAGACCCCTCCATATGAGGGTCGACCCCTCCATAAGCGTCTGGGTAGCTAAATATACACAAAAGCCCTTTCGGAACATGCCCTTTCAGGTCCAAGTGACCTGAACCAGGACACTACTGGGCTACCTCTGGGATAGTCTAGTTCGAGTCCTTCAACCTCGGGCCTGTCATACGACTTTGACAAGCTTTCGTTCGCTCTAGGTCTCCGGCTTCGGCTCCGGGCAAGCGCTGGCCGCCGAACGGATCTGCAGGATGACACGGACTATGTAGGCGGCCTGGCCAGGGGCCATGCGGTGCCCTTTTGGAGCACCGGGTTCCACTTCCCTGAACCAGTGGAGAGCTGCGGTCCCAGACAGCAACGTCCAAAAAGCATGTTGAAGGGCTGCCTAGATCTTCCAACTATAAGAGTTGTGCCTTTTCATTTATCAAAACCAACCAAAAGGCAGAATATGGCAGAATGTTTGCATATAGTTTCCCATCAAACGTTCGCGGAACATCTTCAACAAAAAGTTGAGAGGCCCAAAATCAACCTTGCACCCGAGCACCTCAGCCAAAAAATCAGATGATCTTCTATATATACGTTCCATAGTTCTTTGCATGGACAGTGGCGTCAGTAGCAACCAACCTTGATAACCTTGTCTCTCCATCCATGTGAACAAGGGTTCCTCCCCGTCGTCATTCTTCGACCAATGACCTGTCACCCACCGACCCCCAAAGGCATTGACCTTCGTTTTCTTGAACGCTCTTCGTTTAGATAAGACCTGTCGTCCTCTCATCTCGTCTTCGTTCCTGTCTGTCCTCCACGTATCTCCACGTCACATCCACGTCACAACTCTCCAAAGAGAGGCTCACTCACTCCGCATGGAGCTGTCCACCACCGGTCCGGTGCAAACCACCCGGACCGAAACCCGGAGGCAGTCGACCGAGTCGACCCATCTAGGTCTGTGCCCTGGTGGAGGCCCTGTTTAGATGAGACACGTCCTTCATCAAGTTCGAACTTGGCAAGGAATTGGCATGGCAAAGCTGAAACAAGACCCTAGTCTACAAAGGAGAAGTCAGATTTTTTTTGCAAGAAGGGAAACATCACTGAACACCGTTTAGATCTGCAGGTGTCACTGGTCACCATCTTTCATGACATCTCGCAGGTTGAGTTAGGCTCTCTTTGTTAGGGCCTTCCCCACACAGGTTGAAAAAAAAGAACAACTGAGTGTTGTTGGAGTGTTCAGTGTTAAGTCGAGTTTTGAGTGTTGACTTCGTTGTCTGTGAGTGTTGTTGAGTGTTGACTTAGTTGTTTTCAACATCAGTGTTGTCTAGCTGTTAAGCTAGGCTGGATCAATCATGACACTCCACATATCTCCACATCATGACACTCGCACAACAGACTGAGCCGGGCTCCCCGGACCGCGTTCGTCACGTCGGCCATGACGCACTGCGTGAGGTCGAAGTTGCGGTTGCGCTTGGACTCAGTGGCTTGGGTGAAGAATGAATCACAGTTGACAAATGCTGATAATGCTGATTGGATTTGAATTCCCACAGCAGTTTGGAATCCAGTCAAAGGAGCCAAACGAGCTTTCTGTCCACCAGGTGCCTGTCTTGAGGTTGGACAGCAATGTGTTAAAAGCTTTCGTCATGGGAGAGGATCCCAAGGCAAGTCGGCAAGTGCCAAGGCTTTTGTTTGCTTTTGCAAATGACAAGCCAATGCGGCAACAACTGGCCATCCATGCGGATCTACTCTACTACCTACAATCCTACATACTCACCTGTACATACCTGCACGATCCTGCCCGGGTGCCAAGACACCGTGCGGAGCGCATCCACCTTGGCGATGGTCTCCACGGTGGGCGCGGCGCCAGCAGGGACGAAGGCTTGCCAGTTGGGTGGCAGGGGGTTGGCGTCGGTGACGTGCAGCAGGGCGATCCAGTCCTGATCGACACATGGTAAATAAGCAGCACTGGCATAGTGGAGATTCCAAGTGCATGGAGGAGACATCACAAGGACCAGCCAATGAAATACTTGGATATAGATCTTAAATATCTTCCTAGGTAAATGCTCGCATATGCTGCATACCACAACTTGCCCATGGGCTGCTTGGAAAGAGTTCACTTGACAAAAAAAGACCACCTACACTACACAGCGGTGTGAGCGACAGCCCAGAGCCCTTCGCCAAGCCCTTCACCTTGTTGAAGTCGCAATCCTCCTTCACAGCTGCACCAACCTTGGCTGCAGCGGTCTTGCAGGGCTTGGCATTAGGGTGGGATTCAAAGAAAAGGAGTATGACTATGACTTGAACTGCCTGTGGCCTGACAACATCTCACAACCCTGATGTGGCTCCGGGGGGCTCAACATTGGGTCAGTGTGGGTTAGCTTGCCAATCCGCACAAACTGAAGAGGGATGGAAACAGATTCAACTGTGGAACGGGGGGACACCCACAGCGATGTGGCTAAACAACTGACTTGTGCGACTCGTAGGGAATGAGGGAATGGATGTAAAGGCGGAATCTCTATTGGGAGCTCATTCCCTTATTCTGTGCTAGACAAAGACTGCTGCCTCCAACGGTTTCAGATCAAGCTGCGGTTGCCATCTCACCAAAGTTCGCCATGAGGGCCGTCCAGTCTCCGGCGCACAGGGCACCCGAGTTGACGGCGGCACCACAGGCGTTAGCGGCGAAAGAGAGGTAAGAGGCAATCCAGGTGATGGAGGTGATGAACCCTGCCACACCTCAGCATGTTGGATGTTGAGAATGCAAACAAGATCGGGACACGGGACATGGTTTTCAGGGGAGGCCATTGGAACACACTGGTGGTAGCAGGACTTCGGTGATATCTTGCTTGCAATCTCAGGCAAAAGAAAAGGATGCCACCTTTCCGAGACTGAGAGAAACACGTTTGGCTCAATACCCATACATCATTTCTTACAAGATCTTACAGCCTCTCAAATTCTCAAGTTGGCACATGTTGACGCGGGCAACAAGGACAATTTGGTAGATGATAAGACCTGGCTGGTCCTAGATCTTAAGACCTTGTAATGGAGACCCGTGATTAATAAAAATACAAGATTTGGAGATGTGGATTGTAAAGTTCTTCATAGGTGGTGCTGAAATATCCTCCAGTCTACTGCATCACTTACTTTTGAGCCAAGTGGCTGGCAGCGCAGCCCACTGGGGAGTTGTTTGGGCACTTGAGCCCGTCGTAGTCAATGGCCTTCAAATTGCTTCAGATTCTCTTTGAAGAGGCTAAACTTCCGAAAAAATTGTGGTTGCCGCCCATTCTGAATGAGTTTCAACAGCGTTCGACACCTTTGTGGCAGCGCCGATCCCAAGTCTTTCTCTGGAAAGGCTGTCTTTCTCCAATCATCGAGCCTGGCCTTGTACAGGAAGACCACTGCCTGTCCCAAGTAGGCGGCGCCCTGCACAGGTTGGTTCAATCTGTTTTTGCATGTTCTAGCCAATGGCAAGAGCCTCCCTGCCCCCACATCCTCTCAACTTGCTGGCCTGAACCACGTCGATCACGCACTCGGTGCGGATCCATGGCAATTCCTCCGGCTGGGACTCGTAGAACAAGTCGTTCAGATTCCGCAGGGGCTGCTTCAGCTCGAGGGCTCAGCGGGCCAAGTTTACATCAGTTGTGAGTGATGTACACCCCACCCTAATTATCTTATTTCGATTTTCATGCTTCACGTGGCCCGTGATCACAAGCAACTTTCAACATATATATATATAATTCAAACCTCTTAGCAACAAACCCATGTACACGCCTCGTTACACGCCTCGTTACACGCCTCGTGTCAGCCAAGACTGTCAGGCCCCCTTCCGTCCATCCCTCACCCCTTCCGGTCGCAGTTCCGTTCCGTCGCCGCCCTGAGAGACGGACGGTCCGATCGTTCCGATCGCTCCGTTTCGAGTCGCGAGGCGATCGGAGCCCCGGTTCGAGTCGCGTCCCTTCGTAGGCGGCCTTTCGTTGTATCTGTTGTTTCCGCATGGATTCCGCTCACTTTATGTTGTATGACGTTTGGAAGCACCCCTAGAGGCCCGTAGCCATAATCTGGCCGCAGGTGATGCGGCGACCGAGTGTCTCTTTGCGTTCTCGATGACCTTGTCGATTCCAGGGATTTCCTCCCAATCGTTGATGGTCTGCATCACACTGGATGTCCTCGTCAGCACCGAGGACTGGATATAAATCTTCACCATGCTTTTGGCGAAAAAGGCACAAGTTCTTGATAAGGCCTACTGAAGCCTACAGGTCTCAAAAGCATGTTCCAATTCTATGCTAAGGTGGAGGCCATGCAGGCTCTTGCGCAGGCATGGTCTTGTATGCGAACGCTGCACAGCCCACCTCAGGTTGAGAGAGAATCCGCTTTAAGGACGGGAGCAATAATCAATCGATATCAGGATACTCTTGTCAGACACTCTTGTGGCACAGTCATGTGGGACGCTCGCACAATGATTCCAGGTTAAATTTACAGTGTCATTCCATGAATGAGTGTTCAACCATGTTCAACCCCATTTCGGAAGGGCTAGGAAAACCCTGCGGCCCGAGCCACAAGAGCCAGCACAACTACAGAGCCCACTGCTTTCCACCGCCAGCTTGAAGGGGTAGCAGGTGCCTGTGAGAGTCTAAGCATAATCAAAAAGAATCAAGTGACACTGTACTTCGTCCATATCGTGTCATCTTGCTTCTCAAATGCTGCGCTGAAAAGTGCAAAACAATTGAGCGAAAACAGCTGCCAGACCTCTGGCACTTCCACCAACAGCTCTTGAGCTTCTTCCATGAGAACGGCTGAATGAGTGCTAGACATTGCGATCTGAGAAGACGAGATCCAGGGTAGTTCAGCCGTCTGTGAGCAGAGGTGCTGCAGAAAGAATGCATTCAGATTCCAAATCGCCAACAAGGAGCTGGTGTTCATCCAACGTCAGAAAGTTGCATAGATAGCTCCGCTCGCGTTTCACGTACGTTTGTTCTGATACTCCCTTGCTTGATGAACCTCAAAGTAATGCTGAAAGTAGTGCAGCAGTGCAGCCTCTGTTTTTCTTTGCAAAGCGCTTGTACGCCAAGCAGGACCCTTCCCAATCACTTGGTGAAAAGGGGGCCAAGCAACCTGCTTGATGTAAACGAAGGGCTTTCGGCTGGTTGCCGACGCCAGTTTGGCAGATAGGATCCCAATGGTTAAGGCCACTATGTAATGCTTGATAAAGATATGGTATAGTGTTTATATATTGGTGAATAGACTGGGAGTAGCATTGTCGTTTAAACAAAAATCACTGGGTTCACTACTCTCACACCAGTCACAAGCATCAAACGATACTGCATATCCACATATCCAAAAGCTGCAAGAAATTATGGGTCATTTTGCTAGGCTATATATCGTGCCATCACCGCTTGTAGTCTTGCCCTGAACTTGATTGGATTGGGCTTGTTGGTTCCCCATAATAGATATGTTCCTTTCTGAAACAGTTCCACCTACAACCTCTATGCTGCGCAGTGCAATGAACTAAAGCTTACTGGAGCTCACAAAAGACTGTGCACGCCTCCGAAAGGTTTCTGGGATCCTGTTGGAAAACGTCTGCCGGTGCAACTCCATTGCTTTCCAACTCGCCGGTGGCGATGCAGATCAAAGAGAGGCTTGATCAAAATTCCGGAAGGTGCCGCGGCCTCCTGCACGAGATGCTGTCATGCAAACGGGTTTGCCCTCGCAATGCCTTCTGGACAAATGGAACCAACGGCAAGCCCCGGACTTAAAAATAAAATTGTGCACAAAAATGGCACATGGTGTTCCGGGTTGATGGATCATTAAGAGGAAATTTGCACGGGGGTATGTTTAATATGTTTTAATATGTTTCATGGACACTGTCTGGCATGCGTCATAATCTGACATGTATACCCATGCATGTGAATGTCACGTGTAACATATGTTTTTAAAATTAAGGGACGTTAAGGGACATTGTAGAGACTAGCAAATGGGCGGATCAACTCCAAGATTGCAAACCACTACAACTACAGTACTCAACTCGATGTGCTTCTCCGTCCAGCGTTCTCCCAAACTCCCCATCCCTACCTGTGAAGGAGCGCCTTTGTGGCAACCGCGGCACCACAATCTTGTCCTGATGCTGGCATAGATACAAAGGCACTCCCACTCTCCACTTGTATGTAAATGCAAACAGTCCAACTGATCTGTAGTCAAAATTACCATCCAGCAGACTGTGGAAGTGCTGTTCTTGGCTCCTCCGTCTTAGTCCATTGGAAGATGCTTCTCCTCCTCCACAGGGTCGGGCATATCAGCACAATCCTCGGATGCCAAATCTTGCACGAAAACCTGGGCAGGATGACTGGATCAACTGGATTGCTTTTGCTGATGGCTTCTATTCTGATCTGATTATGTTATGCAGGGATCTTGGGCATATCCCATTCACTGCAACAGTGGATGATGATGGTTAGTAAAGTGCATAAAGACCTTTCTCCAAATCTTGCACAGATCATTGTGGTTTCAGATTTGCTACGAGGCCTTCTGAACCATTTCCGAACCAACTTCATGCACTTCACCAATGCATGGGAGGGTAGATGGCACAAGGACCTCCATCTGTCCAGGACAGGTAGGGGGTTGTGCCATCTACTCTGAAACCACAGTCGTGTAGACTCTTGATTACATTTCAACCCCCCGCCAGTTGGATGGTGAAACCTCTTCATAGGGGTGGCTCAAAGCGAATCAATGGATTGGTTTAAGTCCACAGGAATGTTGGAGGCCATCGCTAGAAGAGTGGAGGCCATCGCTCTTAGGTTGGAGGCCATCGCTCTTAGGTTGGAGGCCATCTCTAGTAGGTTGGAGGCCATCGCTAGTACTTTCCTTTTTTCCAGCCTTTCATATGACGTCTCACACCCTCTCGCCCAGCTGCAGAGGTAGTTGCAATGCCCGCCGCAGGGCCGTTGGTGACTGCCGCCACCATGTCCTCAGTCCAGGGCTTTCAAGACGGATCCTTCCGAAGGCTTGGAGGGCCCAAGCGTACCTGGAACGTCCTCACTATCAGGTGACAAATAACTCGATATACACATCATGTGAGCTATCGATGTCTATCTGATCTATTGAATCTATTGAAGTTTTGCTACTTGAGCTGAGGCACAGAGATGTCCGCGGCACAAAGTGCCTTCTGGCTTCCTGAGCAGGCCCAATAAAGGCTCGAGCAGATGGTGGGAAGGCTTGAGCAACCCTGTGAAATCTCGGAT